TCGTAGAGTAAAAAGGTTTATTGTTTTCGTGCAAAAGTATGTAACAGCTAAAGGGAAGCGTTTTCGACCCCATAAAGTATATATATTCTTGATCAGGGTCACTAGCCACGTCGATCTAGCCATGTCCGTCTGAATGAACGCTGAGATCTCGGAAACTACAAAAGCTAGAAGGTTGAGATTTTCCACACATATTTTTGGGCCTCCTACGCAGCGCAAGTTTATTTCAGCCGAGCGCCACGCCCCCTAACGATTTTAAAATGTGTCCTGCGCCCACATCTTGAAAGATTTTCGAGAAGTATAAATGCAATTTTGTTGTGTCTATTTATACCTATCGAAATGTAGAAGACATTTTTTAAATCGGACCATTCATTAAAAAGTTATACGCAATGAAACAAATTTTATATATCCATCTCTCTCGCCCTTTAGCCGAGTGACGGGTATTAAATAGTCGGGACACCAACACGACTAAAGCGTTCGCTCTTGTTTATTGTTGAAATTAAACTAATTGTCAGTCAAAACATTTGAAAAAATAATAAAAACTTATATTTGCTATAAAGAAACATGTTGTTGTTATTATCAACGCAGCAACAGATTTTTCGATGAAAGTTAAGAAAGCATTCATTTTGGAACACAGTGTTATTATTATTATACTAGATTTGGAATTGTTCTTCAAATAATAGTAAAAGCCATGTCTGTATTTACAAAGCAATGAAGAAAACATTGCAGTGGAAGCACATAAATTTTATATTTTAACAGTGATAGTACTGAAATTGAAGTACAATGTTTATAAGCTGATTTCATAAAGATACAAGCGGTACTCATATCTTATATAACAACTTGCCGTCTGCTAGGCTAAATTATGCTTGTAAAACTTAACATACATAACATAACTTATGAGCCAAACTAAAAAATTTATTTGAATACACTTATATAATAATGGGCATTCGTGAATCCAGGGGGGTTCGAGTTGACTTAATTTCCTTACAAAGCCATTAAATTAATTTTATAGTTAAAAAGATTGCCAAATCGAAAAGATATCCTAAAAATGTTATCTAGTTCCACTTCTGGGCTTATCTTTCCAGAAACTTATACAATGTCTGACAATATTTCTAAGCAAACAAAACAAACTTTCACGCACTATTGTTGGATTCTATAAAATGGGTCATTTGAATAGCAAGTTAACTCAGTTAATGTCTTAAGTTCTTAACGAAGAGTAGTCAGTCTAAAAAGTGGTCTCTTAAAATGGTTTTTACTCCACAATTTTTTTATGATGGAACCGAAAAGACCTGGCGTGGCGAGGAGATGAAGAACTATTTTGATCCTCATCTGTCCATTGGGGAAATCATCTTTAATGAGATGCGGCGACATCCCAAGCAAATCGCCCAGGTTAGTTGCTCTGTATGGATATAACCGACTTCCTTTTCAAACTGTTTTTTTAAGATATCGGTAACGGAAAAAACGGTTCTGACCACGAAAGAACTCCTCGAAAACTCAATGCGCGTGGCCAGCTATATGCGATCGCTGGGACTACGCCAATCCGATGTCGTTGGAATCATGGCCAGGAACACGACCCACATTTTCTCCGTGGCATACGCTTGTTTTTTTAACGGAATCGCATTCCACGGAATCAATACAATGTACGATCGGAAGACAATCGCAAATCTGTACAACATCACCAAGCCGCGACTTATATTCTGCGATGGAGATGACTTTGAGAAAATCCGGGAGGCCACAGTTAATCTGGACGTGAAGATTGTAACCATGCGTAAGCATCCATTGGGTTCCATACGCATCGATGATGTCCTGGCCACTCCCATCGAGAATAACTTTCAGCCGGCTCGTCTGGAGCACGGTAACGATCAGAATCTGGTAATTTTCTGCTCATCGGGCACCACTGGGACCCCAAAGGCACTTACAATCTCGAATAGCAGGAAGATCATTTCGGTTAACCAGTAGTAAGTAAAGTAGACTCTTATATTGGTTTCTTGAACTAATCAGATGCTTAACTATTAGCCATCTGACCACCGCTGATGTGCAATATACCAGCAACAACCTCGACTGGATAAGCGGAATATTGACCACCATTACTTCTGGGGTTTTCTCCACTACACGCATAGTGGCCGATAATGCTTTCGATCCAGTCCTAGCATTAAAAATCATCGAGAAGTACAAGGTAACTTGGGTCATACAGGCTCCCTTCGCCTTGGCAATGATGGGCAACTGTCCGGAGTTTGAGACTGCCGACTTGACAAGCCTACGGTGCTATTTCTACGGAGGATCTCGGATATCTGTGGATGTAGAGAATCGCATTAGAAGTCGTCTGAGTCGGGACTGTCTCCACTTTATCTACGGATTCATGGAGATGGGCAGTGTGGTTACAGCGAACTTTAACTTTGATCAAAAGCCGAACTCTGTGGGTCGCTTGCTAAATGGTATTAAATTGAAGATAATCGGTGACGAGGGCGACTCCTTGGGCCCAGAAGAGGTTGGTGAGATACTGATAAATTGTAATCAGCATTGGTCTGGCTATTACGGAAACCCAGAAGCTACACTTAAAATGCAGGATCCTCAGGGATGGTATCATACTGCGGACCTCGGGTACATGGACAAGGATGGCTTTTTGTACATTGTGGATCGCAAGAACGACATGTTGAAATACCGAAGCATTTTGTACTATCCCAGCGAGGTCGAAGCTGTTATCGCCGAAATGCCAGGCGTTTCTGACGTCTGTGTTTTCGGGGTATACGATCAGATCGATGGGGATAAAGCAGCCGCAAATGTTGTGCGGAAGTGGGACAGTAAGATAAAGGCCCAAGATGTAGTGGATTATGTGAGGGAACGCACCGACTCCCAGTACAAGCTGTTAAATGGAGGAGTCCTTATCGTGGATGATCTAATGCGCAGTGCCAACGGAAAACCCAATAGAAAGGCCAACAAAGTGCACTACCTGAAGGTCAAAGGAATTGTGGAATAATACATTTGGTTTAAAGTTTAATAAACAAATATGATCCTCTAATAATCGCTATTGTTTCAAAAGAGTCAAATAGTTTCCTTCAAAAACAAAAATGTAAATGTAAGTAATAGTAGGGGAGAAGTGGGCTCAAATAGTACAAGGGCAACAATAGTATGTGGCCTTAGCGGCCAAACGGCTCGTTTAAATTGCACGCCGTGTTTACTGACGGTTCCCTAGAACATCAGAGGGCTGCATTAAAAATTTGAGCTTAAAGTTTAAGAAATTACGAACCAATTTCCGTCAGTGTACTATGTGAAAAAACCGATTTTTTTGGCATATACTCTAGTTTTAAATATAAAAACAAGAGAGAACGCTATAGTCGGGTGCCCCGACTATCAGATACCCGTTACTCAGCTAAAGGGAGTGCGAAGGAGATGGAGAAAAACTTTGATCCGCCGTAACTTTTTAACGAATGGTCCGATTTAAAAAATTTTTTCTACATTTCGATAGGTATTGATAAACACAATAAAATTGCGTTTTTACTTTTCCAAAATATTGAAATTTTTAAAATCGTATATAAGCGATTGTGGGCGTTAGAGGGGGCGTGGCACCCTTTTGAAACAAACTTGCGCTGCGTAGGAACTCCTAGAATCTGCATGCAAAATGTCAATCCTCTAGCTTTTATAGTTTCCGAGATCTCAGCGTTCATACAGACAGACAGACGGACAGACAGACGGACAGACGGACAGACGGACATGGCTAGATCGACTCGGCTAGTGATCCTGATCAAGAATATATATAGTTTATAGGGTCGGAAACGCTTCCTTCTACCTGTTACATACTTTTGCACGAATCTAATATACCCTTTTACTCTACGAGTAACGGGTATAATTAAGGTGTAATTTCGGTTTTTGTTACTTTTTGAATCGGACCATTGCCTTCATCCACCAACCACGCCGCATAAAAAAATTTTGTCACAGGGATTTTGAAAAATGTTTATTTGTATTTGCTATTTTATTGCTATCGGAAACAGTGCAGCACATTAGGGCGGGTCGATTTGTATGGGGCCGAAAAAAGTGATGAATCGTATAGGGGGAACGTAATCTTTAAAGGATTCTAAGCTATACTGGCGAACATACTTATGGTCTAAAATGACGTTTGACCCACCCCCCCCAAACGCGAATAAAAAAAACTGCTTTTTTGAGGAAAATTTCATAGTAGTCAGCTCAGATGTATTAAAAAATTTGAAATAAAAATTTGAAATTGATATTCAGTAAGATATCAATTTTCTGAAAGTTGACTTTGTATGGAACAGCTGATTAACAGCTGACCAAAATTCAACAATTCAGCAATTCAACAGTTTAGGGAATCCCCCTTATGATTTTTTCACTGAACTTGCTTTGTGCAATCCACTATTTGCCACTATACCGCGCTTGTTGAGAGTGGAGCCCTGTTCAGTTTGATATTTGCCCCCCTTTATTGTATGGGGAAAATCCGCGGCTTTAGCTTAATGATACTTTCTGATAAGAAGCTTGAAATAATGCCCAATAATCATGTTTACCGTGCATATTGGTACAACCTCTGTGAGGGGAGCAATTAAGAAAATTGTGAGGACACGATTTTTTGAATAGTTTTTTAATATACTTCTAGAAGTCGGATAAACTTGCAACCTATCTAGATCGATAGATATTATCATTTTAAACAATTTGCTTAAAATATTGTTCAATTTGGCGCCCAGAAGCTGAAAAATAAAAATAAAAAAATTTGCCCCATGTTCCCAATTCCACCGTTTCACAATCGCCGCTAAGTCACCGACGTTAATTTGACGCACATCTATTTATACCATCGATAGTTTTCAAAGGTCTATTAATCTTT